TCGGAGGAGAGTGACACCCCAGCCTGGGTGGTGGGTTATTAAAGAGAAAAAGGTTTTCCAAACCAGTGATTTTGAGATGGTGCTTAAAGGATGAGTAGGAAAGAGCCTGGAATGGGGACATTTCATGTAGAGTCAAATATAGCAACAGCAAAACTCAGGAGGTGGGAAGCAACTTTTGGGGTATTTAGGTGTGAGGCAGAAACTTACCGGAAGTGGGGTAGAAAGTGGGGTGGGGCTGGCCACAGAGAACTCTGCTTGTCAGGTTGAGGAGCCCCTCAAAAACTATATCCCAGTGAAATGCCCTTTCAAGGATGCATGGGTTAATTTCATTTAAGACTAAATTTGTGTTCTTCAAATGGATTTGTCTCTTATTTTTTAGTTGTTAGGATCCAGCTATATTAACAGTGTAATTTATTTTTATACCATATATAATTTATTTTTAAACCATAGTGTATAAAATTATTTCTTATAATTTATTTTTAAACCATAATGTATAAAATTATTTCTTTGAAACCAAAGGCAGATTTTGTTGGAAGCAGATTGACACTGTCATGGGGTGCTACTTCCCACTCAGGTTCAGAGGCACAGCTGTCATTTATCAAAACCAGAACACAAATATGAAAATTGAGAGAAAACAAGAAGTTTGTCATCTCTGCGCGGTCCCTTGTAACATACTTGCTTCTGCAGTTACCAGGTTCTCCTTCCATGCAGTTCTGCAAGCCATGCCCCTGGGGTCAACCTTCCACCCGCCTCTCTACCCCCTTCATAACCGACCACCAAATACTGGCCGTCTTTCCCCCAAATATTACTCAGACCTGTCTTTCCACAGACACTCCCTATGGCCCTGTCTAAGCCACCATCATCTCCTGCAGCAACCTCCTGTCTTCCCATCTCTGTGCTTGCTGTCCTCCAAGTAATTCTCCACAAAGCAGTCAGAACCATAATTTTTAAATGCAGATGCCATGATATCTTTCTTCTCCTTGCAGCCTTTTAGTGGCTCTTAGGACGAACACTGGAATCTGCCTCAGCACACCAGGGTTTAGCAGCATCTGGTTCCTGCCTTCTCTGGGCCTGTTTCCTCCTTACTTCCTACCCAAGCCACGCTAATCTTTCTAATTCCTAACTTAAGTCCCATTCCCTCTCATGTCTCAGCTAATCCTTACTTCTTCAGAGAGGCCTTCCCTGACCCCCCAACTAGGAGCTCCTGACTGTTATTACTTTTCACTGTTGCAGTTAATGATAATGAGTCGTGTGAGCCGGGGTCTAGTGCTTGTTACTCACATAGCCTGAGCTTCCGGAGTAAGGGCTGCACCTGCTTTGTTCAGTAAGGTGCCCGGACTGTCCTTGTGCCTGGCGCTGAGGCACAATAAAAGTAGTAAATATCTGCTTGAATATGTGAATATTCACATCCTACATGTGCTTCTCTGCTTCCCAAAGACCTCTCCTCACGCACAAACAAAAAGATCAGACCTTCTATGTTGGGAACAAATACCAATTCAAAGCCATCAATAGGTATAATTAACTGTCATTCTGTACTATCCTAACTATAGTTGATCATTAAATATTTAGAAACTATTGCAGATGAGAGAAATTAAACAAGGAGAGCTAATAAGCAGTACCTTGATAGATACATACACTTTGGTAGGATCCAGGGTTTGGCCAGGAATGCAGTTTATTCTTTAACGAGTGATGTTCAGAGTCTGGGACTCACCAGAAGCCACGGGATATCCAGACTTCCAATGCTGTGCATTTCTAGTGTGTACCGAAACTGTCAGGCACTGCAGCTGTCTGCTCAGAGGCACATTCCTCCGCCGGCCACTCTGTGTGGGAAAGTTGGGCTGTACTCCCAGGGTTGGGAGACATGGACTTGGGGTTGAGAGAGCATGGGGTCCAAATGTGTGCATCAAGCCAGGCTGGCTCTAAATGAACTACCTGATCCAAATAGTCAGAAGTCAGCATTTTAAACAATAGCTCATATTGATTATGTGTGTTTGTTCTCAGGTAATTTTTTGGTCTCCCTGTATTGCTCAAGTAATTTTGTTTACTCCCTAAATCCTTGCTTTTTTGTTTATTCAGTTGTTTTCCATGCAGTCCCTGAATCCTCATTGAGGTTGCACAGGTTTTTCCCACAGCTTCAGTTCATATGTTATTTATTTATTATTATGTTTTAATTGTTGTTCAAGTACAGTTTTCTGCACTTCAGCCCAGTACCCCAGCCCTCCCCACCTCCCTCCCATTTCCACCCCCCATCATTGTCCATGTGTCCTTTATATATATAATTGTTCTAATGGCAGAAGTTGGACTGAATGGAGGCAAAGTTATGTTTAAACTAAGTGAAAGCCTCTCAGATGGGAAGTAAATAGATTTTTAAGTGGTTATGGTAGAGCTAATTAAGTAAACTTGCTAATTGAAAATGCATTGACACTTTAAAGAAAGCAAAAGAGCTTAAACAGAAAACAGTTTGCTTTTTATTTTTATTTTTTTTTACTTCTTTATCATATTTTTTCCATTACCATTTACTCTCCTTATATGCCCCTCCCCGACCCTCGCAATCACCACACTGTTGTCCATGTCCATGAGTCCTTTCTCCTTTTGCCTTGATCCTTCCGCACCCTAGACTGCCTTCTGCCCCCAGAGCTCTCATCTGCCCTCCATCTGTGAGTCCATCTCTGTTTTGCTTGTTAGTTCAGTTTGTTCATTAGATTCCACATATGAGTGAAATCATGTGCTTTTTGTCTTTCTCTGACTGGCTTATTTCACCTAAAAGTTTAAAAGTTGTGAAATTACCCCCAGGGAGTATAAAAGCTAACCATGTGCAAACTAGTGGATGAAAAGCATTTTTCTTTAAGCAATTGGCTTTAAAATAACCGGTTTTATTAGAGCTGGAGATAAAAATGAAATGAATTAAATGCAATTTCTGGAAACTGTGCTGGACAAGCAGATCACACTTAACTGTTTAAAACTAAATAAAGAAAAAAAGCTGTAATCTGAAAACTTGTCATAAATTCCAGAGCATTCATGAAAGGCTGCGAGTCAGCTCTTTTATCTATAAAAATTATACCCAAGCTTCAATTTGTTCTTAAAAGAGGATTAATAAAAGTTTAAATATGCATAAAAATTAGGAAACTGCACCACCCATGGTACATAATATATGGGAAACTTTATGCTTAGAACCATTTATCTTTGATCTGGTATGCGAGAGAATTGTGGGATTTTGCAGTAGAGAATTGTGGGATCAAATTGTGGTAAATCAAGTAAAAATGCACTCTCCTGATTTTTTCCAGGAGAAAAAATTTCACCATACATAATTTTGTTAAAATTTCACCATACATAATTCCAAGGAGACGTAGGCTCGTCTTTCTTCTAAGAAAAGAACATTTAGAGCTCCTTTCAATGTTGCCTTTCAGTGGCTTGCAAAATAAAAATACAGTTCATTTAGTACTTCAATTTCTTTTTACAGATGTGCCTCCAAACTTAAAAAAATGCATCTGTATAGTGCCAGAATTAGTTATATAAACTGTTTAAAATCTTTACACTTAATGTTTAGATAAAGTCATTCTGAAAAAAGCCTTTTCTTCACTTTCATGGACAATTACCTGACCTTTGGCTTTGTTGAAGGCTGTTTGTTAAACCTCATTAATATACTCATGTGTACATTTCTCTAACACCATCTTGTGGGCCTTATGATACTGTCACTGAAGACTTTGAAGTCTTCTATGCTTTGCACAGTTACGGGCACTTTAATTAATTTATCTCAAATGTCAGAGGAAGTAGAGCCAAAGGCTGGATTCTGTGGAGCTAAAACTCCCATGCCTGCAGACCACGCTATGACTTTATCTGTCTGCTTGCCACAGGGCAGTCTGTAGAAGAAACAGAGAAATGGATTAAAGCATCTTTTTAAATAGGCCTAGTTCATCTGAATCATTTTCCCAAGGGTCCTTCTAAAATCTGAGAAGGCTAATATATCATTAATCAAATGTTCAGTTAAAGTTTAGTATAGTAGGAGTAGACTCAGTTATCTTGGCAGGATTTGTAACAGGTGTGTCTGCACTATTCTGATTTAATTGTGGCCACCTGATTTATTGAACGCCAACTCCTCGGAGACCAGAAAATGAATTGCATCCTTTCTCTCACATTTTTAGGCTACCTGAGCAATTTAAATGGATGTTAAAGGCTTTGGTCCTCTGTACATTCCAAGACTTTTACTAAGGGTTTCCACTCCTTCTGTCAAGTGCCCCTTAAGACAAGATATCTTCTCACTATCTCAGTGTCCCCTCACTCATGTCTCTACTGCTCCAGCAACCTCTATTCCAGCTTCCTTAGACACCAAGGGAAATGTCCTGAGGCCAAATCACTAGGTCGTAAGCCTGGAAGAACATGGAATTGCCACTGCTTCCCAAGAGAATCACAGATACAAACACCTTAAAGATGCAAAGATCTTACTTTATTTGGTTCATTGGTGGGCGTTTATTGGGAAAGAAGCCAGAGAGGGCAGTTGGTCTGGTGGGCAGCTGTCTTGTGCAGAGCTCCAGCTTCAGGCTGACTACCCTGGACTTTATTTCCAAGATTAGAGTCCCAGGAGCATGATGAGGCAGGATGTCCGTCACTGGCTGCCACTGCTGTGATCATTTTCATGGTAGAGGCAGGGCCAAGGAAATGCCCTGACCTGATACTGCCTCATTGATGTGGTTGGAATAACGATAGTGAGGGGTTAGACTGGGCTAAAAAATGGACTAATTAAGGTTGAGAAAACTGAAAGCGTACTGAGGGGATATTCCAGAGATAAAAAAGGATGAGCAGAATTCAGGTAACGATGGGACTGTTGTATTGCCAATGGCAGTGATAAAATCCCCTGTATCCAGTGACTGAATGTTTCCACCTGGACCGCTTGCTGCTTTCTGATTGGGATGGGGTCTCTAGGACTCTTGTGGTCACATATGTTGTCATATGTCATTCCTTCTGGCCAAAAGTCATTGTTTCTGTCTTCCTCTTCTGACCAGGTATTGGACTGGATTGAAAACCACGGTGAGGCCTTTCTCAGCAAACATACAGGGGTTGGGAAGTCCCTGCACCGAGCCCGAGCCCTGCAGAAGAGGCACGATGACTTTGAAGAGGTGGCTCAGGTGAGGTGCTGTGTGTGTGTCGGGGGTGGGGGCTGGGTGAGAGAACCAGGGCTTAAGTGCGGTGTATGATGGGGCATATCGGGTTGGTAGCCCATGGTTTCTGGGCTGCTGTCTGCCTAATGCAAGGAAACCTTTGTCTGCTCTCGTATCACTATATGAGTGGTAAATAGACCCTCACTTTATTGTCCTGAAAGAAAATCATTCTGCTGGCATGAACTGTTAATGACTTGTCTACAAGATGGTGGTGATGACAGGACAGAGTGACATCAGAACCATCAACAGCCCAAAGCCACCCCTGTGGTTTTCACCATAGTTGAGTGGGAGCTAAAAATAGTGGCCACTCTGCTCACAAAGCTGTGTACCTTCCAGGATCTTGAGGAAGAGATGGCACCTGGTCACCAAGCCATGCACCAACAAGGCTGACTATTCCCGAGAAAGTGCCTTTGCGTCATTGACCAGTATTTAGTTTGTAATTTGCACAATATTCAGCCTTTTAGCTGAGATGCATACCTGTGCCAAAAATGGCACCATTTTCTAATCTGCGTGAAGAGCCTGTAGAGGAGGACTTACACATTCGTCTTAATGGTGCAGCGATGGAATGGTGGAATTTGGGGGGTAGAGGTCTGTTCTGAGCCTCCACTCCCCATATTTTATTTTAATTTCCTTGGGAGCATTCCAAATGGATCCTCAAAATCTTCGCCTTCAAGATGACATACTGCTGTCCAGTTATGTTGTCAGGTGTGATCAGTTGCAGGGGAAAAATAAGACTCTTATGAATAAGGGAGGAAGGGGCAGCTGAGCAGGGAGTCAGTAGGGGCAGAGGGCTGGGTGCTGCTGGAGTAGTGAGGATGACAAAGCTGGGTTTCCACACCAGGGCTTTAACCAGCACTGGCTCTGACCCCACGTGTGGGCACTCAGTGTGCGCATCATGCTTGGCATTGTGCAAAGCCCCATCACTCACCCAAGGAAGCCACCAGCCTGAGACAAATATGAGCCAAAACCCAAAGGAAACTGCTGGAGGACAGGCAAGTAGTGGGAGCATACCACATCTCCAGGGAGGCTGCGAGTGTACGCTGAAAAGTGAGAGGCCTGGTAGGGGCCAGCAAGGTCAGGTCAGCAGTGGCTTGAACCTGGTCATTGCAGATAGATTAGACCCAACCTGTGGAGTAAAGCTTCACATGGAATCTTTGCACGCTGTTGGTGAGAATGTAAAATGATACAGCCATTGTGGAAAACAGTGTGGTGGTTTCTCAAACAACTAAACATAGAATCACCATGTGATTCAACAATCCCACTTCTGGGTATATACCAAAAGAATTAAAAGGTGGGATATGAAAAGGTAATCCTATACCTGTGTTCACAGCAGCATTATTCATAATAATAGCCTAAAGGTGGAAGCAACCCTAGTGTCCACTGATGGATGAATGGATAAACAAAATGTGGTTTGTACATATACACAATGGGATATTATTTAGCCTTAAAGAAGGATCCCACAGCATAGATGGACCTTGAAGACAATGTAAAATGAGTCAGTCAGAAAGGAACAAATACGTATGAGTCCACTTATATGAAGCAGTCAAATTCATTGAGCCAGAAAGTAGAATAGCAGTTGCCTTCGGAGTGCCTCTCTAGGCTGTTAGGAGGCAAAGGATGGGAGAGAGACATTTGGATTCCGTGTGTGCTGAGGGTGGGGGTCATGCTACCTGGGATAATGTGTCGGACAGAGCTGTCCCATCACTTTGATGCTCTTGCCTTTTCGCTCTGCGGTGGCTCAGCCCCTCCTCACTTAGGGAGGAAATCCCTAGAGCCACCCACAGCCCTGACCCAGCCCCTCCCTCCCGCTGTCTTTCTGCTGCAGCCTCATAGGCAATGCAGCCCTGGTTACAGGTCATGAGGGGCCTGTCACTTTATGTGTTTTTGCAACTAAGCAGGCCTGGCAGCTACCTCCACTTTAACCCCATTTTTCCTAATTGCTCCTTTACTTTTCTCATTGACACCTTATAAGCCTTTCACATGGAACAATGCCTTTCAGTTAGTACCAGACACATATGGACTTAAACTGACATTGAAGAAAGAATGCACACATTTTTAAAGCTTATGTTCCCATTATGTATTTTACAACTCACCAATCCTGAATGACAGTTGGTATTTGTCTCGTTCCGTAAGAGGATGCTGAGGCTCAGGGAGTCATTCAGTGTGCACAGGTCATCTGGCTCGGTGGTGGTCCTGCTGGGGTTCCACCCCAGGTCTGTCTGACTCCAGTCATGTTCTTACCCAGCTCCACACTCTCTCTCCTTTGTGAGCTACAGGCACTGGGTGTAAAACTCATTCCCGAGTGCCGGTTTGTTCATGGGAAGTGCAGGACGAAGAGCAAGAATGGGAGTGGGGATGCTGGTGTGGTCACCCTGTTTAACATACGTTACAATCTCTTCATATGATCCGCTTCTCCCTGCCTCTGCTTTCTGACAAGACTGTTATCTTTGTGAGAAAGAAGAGAGTTCTACCTCCCCAAAGGCTCTGCTTCTAGGAGGAATGTTTCCTCTGGAAAGAGGAACAACAGGTGTGAAACACCTGACTACAAAGGGAACAGCTAAGCAAGGGGCCATGAGGTTGATTCAGATGGGCGGGTCATGTAACCTAGAAATCAGTCCTGTTTTGTTCCCTCATCCCCCTCGGGGGCGGGGAATGCTTAGCATCCTGGAATTGGTAGTCCACTTGGGAAAACCAACTCTGACCACGGCAAAGGCAGATGGCTGTCTGTAGCCACCTGCTCAGCCTGCCTCGTTCTGTGCAATGTGATCGTCATGCTCAGGTGGTGAGGAGGGGGCAGGTCCTGACAGGAGGGGGCACTCTTTTTCTCACTTGCTTCTGTTCTCAGTTAGCTGAGGGCCACTGCAAAGAGAGGAATGGATTTAATCAGGAATTGGATAATTTTTTAGTCAGTCAGTGAGTGATCAGTGACAATAAGTGAAAGTGTACAAACTCTTCTTGTTTTCGGTGCTGGTGAAGAGTCATAGTCAGGAACGGTGTCACACATGGTGTGAAGCAGGAGGCTGGGGCGTCGCTTGTCAGCAGTACTAAAAAGGGTCATGATTTAGTGAAAAAAACCCTTTCAGTTTTATCATTTTCATGATTATTTGACCTGAGGATGATATGAGAAGGGAATTCTGCGTTCTCATTCTCTGTACTCAGGCTTAAAAAATTGACTGGCATCAAAGCAGAAAGAGAGCTGTTGGCCTGTGTTTGGCTCCCAGAAATTTGTCCTCTGCAGGGCCAGCCCTCGAGTGGAGATGGCTACACACAGGGGTGGATGAGGGGCGGCGCAAATCCCCCAAACAGCACGTTTCCGCTCTTGGCATAGGGGGTGCAGGGGATGCACCTGTGATTCTCACCAAAGACATTTATGGCAGTTATTAAAATAAATATAAATGATAGCTGTGAAGAAATAATGTAGCAATCCATTATCTCTCATTAAACTTCAAATTTTGCCCTAGCTGGTATGGCTCAGTGCCAGCCTGTGAACCAAAGGGTTACCTGTTCGATTCCCAGTTGGGGCACATGCCTGGGTTGCGGGCTGGGTCCCCAGTAGAGGGCATGTAAGAGGCAACCACACATTAATGTCCCTCCCCTTTCTTCCTCCTTCCCCCCTCTCTCTAAAAATAAACTAAATTAAAAAAATAAACTTTACATTCTGTGTTTACTAGCTCCTGAACACATTTTAAAGACTCTTCAACTACCATTTGGAGGAAATGAACTGAGTGTTTATGAGTCCCCAGTTCATCCTGCAGAGGGCACTCTTTGCATAGCCTATGGTGAAGCCAAGGGGGAGGAGTGAAGGAGCCAGTCCTGATGGCTTGACTGAGGAAGGTCCTGACAGGCGGGCGGTGGGGGGCCAGGACCAGGGCACACACCGGGGGTCTGTTCCTACAGCTCTGTCTTAGTCTAGGCTACTGGTGTTGTCTGTGCTCACATAGAAGACCTGGTCACTAGCGGGAACCCCTCCTGGTTCTGGTAGATTCTTGACTCAAGTCACCTGTGAACCCATCAAATAATGTGAGCCATAGAGTAAATGAGATTTTAAAAGGTGCTGACTGTATTTTTATGTTTACATAGTTTTGGCATGTCAGGTATCATCGAGAGTGTAGACAAATGAAAAATGAAGTTGCTGCCTGTGATAACACAGCTGTCAGGAGACAGGTGCGCCCATATCTGTTCAGGAGATAGAATGGGACACAGGACTGTGACTTTATCCTGAGATATTTGCTATTACTTAGTACTCAAGTGCCCGTGGTTTACACAGCAGCTGTGCATTCTCTGTTAGTGGTCTGATTTATAACCTCATTATCTGAAATGCCAGACTTTCTGTAGGCTAGCTTAGTCAAACATTATCAAGCATTTACATTCCAATATGTATAATCTAATGTCTCAAAGCACCAAATCACACTTAAGCAGTTAAGCATAGTAAGTAGCATTAGTGCAAATTGTTTGAAAAAGCAGACCATTTAAAGAAAGACGTTTAAGAAATATAAAAACAGAGTCACAAATAAGCACGTCATTCAATAACCTTTGGTCAGTTATTTCTCTATCTGACCTTTGCTTTTTCCCTCCAACTTGAATAGCTGCTTGAAAATTTTTTTTTGTTCTGAGTCTTGGGGTCCAAGTAGGCAAAAATGGAAGAGAAACATTTGGCGATCCAATGAACACACCTGCCTAGGGGGTGGTATAGTGACCTTTGGAATAAGTTACATCTTTCTTTTCATGCCTGAGACCAATTATAGCAGCTGCAAATGGAAGCAGAAGGGGAAGAGCCTAAATAGATGCTTTTTCACACTCCAGCTTCTTAGAGAGGATGAAAGGTTCTTAAGCAAGATTAAAAAAATAGTGAGGAAAAACACAGGAAAGTGCAGAGAATTTAATGTCATAAAGTGGGCAAGTGGGAGAATGTGAAAGCTCAGAGAAATGAAGGGACAGCCTTAGGCTTTGGGTCCTGCACCACGCTC